CACTGCACATGGTTGGAATGACAATAAAGCCACTTGACTTGTACACTGTTGAGCAAAATGTCAAACATTTAAGCTGCATTTAAAATATGATTTGGTTACTAAAGAATGTGAATGATTATTTCAAATGGCTCTTAAATAGACAGACCGCATTTGAATCAACAGTGTTTAAGTTTGTCCTTTAAACTGTGCTCAAGTACTTAGTTGCATTTAGGCTGGTCGTTTAGTCTACAAATAATTAAGGTCAGATCGTGTTGAGGCTGAAGCACAATAATAGATGATGAATAATGACAGCTAAGGCATGTGGTTTCATTCATTCATTCATTCATTCATTCATTTATTTATTCATTTTCAGGCACAACAAATACCTATATTGAACATAAAATACACAAAACAAAAAACAAAACTTGCCTGAAAAAGGAGTGGGACGAAGAAAACTTATTAAATCCCACCCCTATACTCACTCATCAACAAAAAAAAACAATAAACTTCCCGCAGCTACGCCCATCATTGCATACAGACCCATCAACAGCCCCGGGCAGATACAAGCATCTAAGCGGCAGCTCGCAACCAACAATTAGAGCCTTCATAACTGAATACAGAATATATAAATTATAAATTGCATTACCACAGGTAACAGGCAGTAATAACTACAAGTAACAGACACACATACATATACATACATATATATCTACACACACAAGTACATATATGTACATACATACGCACACTTTATTTTTTATTTTTTATTTTGGAATCCATACCAGCAATGGTAAGAGGACAGACATTACAGAGCACACTAAAACCCATCATTGAGTATACTGTGACCAGACCAACTGTTTGTAGAGAAATTTAAATTTATGAATATTTTTGCATTGTTTCAATTGTAAACTCAGACTGTTCCAGATTTTCACACCACATACAGACACACAAAAGCCTTTACGGGTTGTTCGAGTTCTGGGTAATTTGAATTCTCCAAAGCCTCTCACATTATAAACCTTTTCTCGAATTTCAAATCTAGTTTGTAAATTTGCCGGTAAAAGTTTAGTAAAAGCTTTATACAAAATTATGGATGTATTGTAATTAACCAGATCCTGGAATTTAAGTAACTTTGCCTGAAGAAAGAATTTGTGAGTATGATCTAGATAACCAGCCTTGTGAATAATACGCAGTGCTCGTTTCTGTACTGTGACTAATGGATTAGTTGTATTTTTATATGTATTTCCCCACACTTCCTATTCAGATGATCCAACACATTATGACTACTTGACTAATATGCTGTTGACCTTTTGCTGCCAAAGCATAGATTCTACAAGACCTCTAAAGGTGCTTTAGTACCTTGCAAATATTTGTGACAAGAGCACAGAAGGCAGTGCTGTGATGCAGTTACAGAGCTGCAAAGTCTGAATAGACAGGTGGTCGGCTGGATGGATGGGTCTATAAAACACTTGCCTTTAATATGGGAGACTGATGTTTGTTTCTCCATTTCAAACTATGTACTTTGAGTCAATAACCTTAACTGTGTCTGTTATAATGAATCATTTCAAGCCTCTCACCTAAACCTAAAACAGGTGCACTTTTGCCCACACTCAACTAAACAAGCGCAGTAAAAGTACCTGCCCATTCAGCAGTCTGTTATTTTGCCTCTCCTCAGACTGCTTCTCTACGAACTCTACATGCTGAACTAATGCAGAGCTCCCCACAAGCCTTGTTATTTTGGAAATGCAGTTATCTGACCAATTTGGCACTTGCCAAAAGTTTTCGCTGACTGATCCTTCACCCACTGCCTAATAAGACTCAGATCTCAGTTATGAGTTATGTAAAAGTCAATGACAACATTATTATAATCTGACATGAACTAAAGTTGCACTGAACTTGGATGATTAATACATATCTTGATACACTTCCTCCACTTTCACTTAATTTAGCTGCTGCACTTACATATGCATGTGTGCATGACTTACTGCAGGATGATCTAGTGCTCTGCACACGCCTCCAAACTTAGGAAAGGTGCTATAACTATTCAGGTAGCATGTGACCCGATGAGACCCCTTGTGACTCTATACATCTTAAAGTCTCTTAAGTGTTAAATAAGCATGTATATATATATATATATATATATATATATATATATATATATATATATATATGTGTGTGTGTGTGTGTGTGTGTGTGTGTGTGTGTGTGTATGTGTGTGTGTGTGTGTGTGTGTGTGAGAAAGTGTCTAGTATAGCTGATGCAGCTTTGTGTGCCTGTTTTCTTTGTATGAGTGTGTGGATGTGGCTTGTGTGAGTGTGATTTGTGAGTGTGCCTCTGTGTTAATTGGAGAGCTGTTGTCTTGAAAGATCATCCATTTGTCTCCATCTGGCCCTCTGGCTGCAAATACCTCCCTGCTACATCGCACACTCTCACAATCTCACACACACAGGCATGCACACAATTACATTTACTCACAAGTGAACAGTACACGCACTGGTTTTCCTGCGCTTTAAAAGACAGTGCTCCCTGTTGAAGCTGCCACTCAAATACATTTTAATCTACATCATAAATCAAATTTTGTTCTCCATTTCAAGATATTTCTACAGTCTCTTGGATGAAAGCCTTTAATATTGACTGTAAAGTGGAGATGGTGGGTGTGCAGCAGGCCCACCGGCTCATTTCGGAGCGGACTCGCTTCTCATTTATTTAGGGGATGGAAAGGTGATGCTCGGCCTCTCGATTAAAAACAAAACACAATTGGCTCTTTCTTTAATCCACCGTGAGTAATAGAGTCTCAGTCTAATATGAAATAACTGCCATAATTGTGAGAGATGAGCCCTGCGTTGAAGCCCTAGTGATGAGGACAATATATGGCATCGGTGAGGGAGGGAGTGCATGTCGTGTCTAATTTGAACAATGTTTATTCATAGGATTAGGCTGTTTGGCGAGAATGTGGGTTGTCATGTTCATGAAACAACATGGCAAACACTCTTGAAAGTGATGTAATATTAATGTCAATATGCCCGTCTCATTTTTCATCCCAGTGTCACAGATTTGGAGGGTCTACACTCAACAAACAGTGTAACCCTTTAATTTACTCTTAATACTAAAACTTCAGAGTGAAGGAAACGTTCCGTTACTTTTCACTGAAATCAGACTTTAACACAACAAAACTGAGATATTGCATTGGTGTTACATGCAACAGAGCATCAGACAGGCAGCAAGTCACAGGTAATGTTAGTCAACCTGGGAAAGCTGTTTTAAAAACCTCTTCTGCGGTTTCAGCCTGGAAAAAACCCCTTTGTAATGCCAAGTTTTATCTCAGCTTGGATTTGTAACAAAACTTTCCTCAACCAGATAAAGATAAGAGTGCAGTAATTCTTTTGGCAATAAAGAAGGAAGACTTACACTCACACAGCGTAAAGAGCACTAAAAACTAAAACCCAAGGCGAGAATCTCGGTGTAATCATTGATGAAGATCTAAATTTCACTGTCCACTTCCAAGTTATGACTCAGGCTTTATCCTGGCATCTTAAATTAGCTAAAAGGAGAAACATGGTGTCTAAGGAAGATTTAGAAAACCTCATTTGTACTTTGAGCTCTTGCAGGATGGACAACAGTAACACACTCTTCTTTGGCTTCCCGAGTAGGAAAAGTGGACATCTCATTAAACACGCCGCTTCTACAAAACTACTTCAGCCCTGCAACTAACAGTTATAGTGGCTGCTGGTTCCTACTGTGTGAAACATACCAAACACAAACACGATTTACCCTTTTTATGTGAAGCAAATGCTACAAAGCGTAATTTTTCAGAGGTTACCAGGGTAGTGAGTTCCACTAAAGGTGACAAAACAAATATATGTTTTACTTGTGTTTATTCATAAGGCTGCTGGAAGCTGGTTAACTTTAAAACATAACTGCAGGAACAACAGCTTGTACGATCACCTATGAGGTCATTTTCGGGGGAAGGATAGTCTCAATAAACACCAAGAGGGGAAACACTATTACTTCAGTTTTTAGACACTTGCACTGGCCTCTTGTTAGCGTGAATATATAACTGAATTTAAAGCCTTACTTATTATCTATAAGGCTCTCAGTGGTCCAGGCCAAAAATACATCAGATTTATTTCTGCTGAGCACAAGTCTAGTTGTTCTTTCGGCTCCTCGGGGGTTGGTTAGATAATGGCATTCTGAGTTCAACCCAAACATCAGCTCCCCTTGAAGCTTAGATTTTCCCCAACTTTTGTCATTTTTAAAACTAAGATATAGACCCAGTGTTTTTACTTATTTAAGATGCCACTTTTACATATTCTATTAACTCTGATTTAAACTTGTGTTATCTGTTTTGCATGCTTTTCTTTTATTTTCATTTTCAACTCTTCTAATTAGTACAGTGATGTATTTATGCTGCTTATCTTTGAAGATCCTCAATGCATTAAGAAAGCACTTTGTTTGCCATTTTATATGAAGTGCTCTGTCCAAATAGCCTTACCTTAAAACTTTTTTTTTAAACACAAAGTCTGTGTTATAAATAGTGGAGGGCAATATGAAAGAGTTTTGTATCCCTCAGCAGGAAGGATTCAACAAAAGATGCTATCAGGTTCAAGCTGCCAAGTCAACCTGATCTTTCATTCTGGGGAATAAAAGTCAGGACATCTTGACTTTTCAGGCTTCAATTTTGACCATTCGTTTTAAAATCAGACTCTCAAGTGAAAACACCCAACTTTGTCAGATAACAACACGAAATATTGACAAATAATTTCAACAGCGGATGCATTTCATTGGTTTTGCGGCTTTGTAGCCCAACTAATACAAGATAAAATATTTTTTATGTTTTCTTTTATATACAATTTAAATATAACTATGTTTTTAAACTGACATGTTGAATAAAATGTAAATAAGATTTAGAAATCTCATAAAAACCCATATTTTATATTTACAACAGAACACAGAAAACAGATCAGTTATTTAAACTGAGAAGATATTTCATGAAATATATCAGCGTATTCTGAATTTGGCTGAAAACTAAAGGCTGGATACAGTTAGAGGAGGTCAGTAACATGACTGGATATAAAAAGGGTAGCTTAGAGAGGCAGTGTTTCTCTGAAGTAAATATGAGCACAGGTTCAACATTTTTGAAGAAAAAAAAATTGTGGTAACAATCAACAAATTCCAAAAATGTGGAGAAATCTGTGTGCAATGGAGAAGGCCGAGACTCAATCTCGGATGCCAGTGATCTTCATGCTCTCAAGCAGCACTGCATTAAAAACAGACACAATTCTGTCATGGAAATCACTGCATGGGGTCAGGAACACTTCCAGAAGTCACTGTGTGTGAACGCAGTTCACTGTGCCATCCATAAATACAGGTTAAAGCTCTATGATGCAAAGACGAAGCAACATGTAACCATGATCCAGAACACTGATGTCCTCTCTGAGCCAAAGCTCATTTAAAATGGACTGAGACAAAGTGAAAAACTGTTCAGTGGTGAGACGAATTGAAATTTGACATTTTTTGGGGAAAACATGTACATTGCATCCCTCGGAGTAAAGAAGACAGCGACCATCTGGCTTATTATCAGCACTCATCAAAAGCCTGCATCTCTGATGGTATGGGGGTGCGTTAGTGCCTATGGAATTGGCAGCCTGAACATTTAAATGTGTACCCAGGTTTTAGACCAACATATGCTCCGAGTCATATGTTTTGAGGGAAAGCCTTGCAGATTTCAGCATGACAATGCTAAACCATATACTGTAGCTATTCATAGTACAGCATGACGTCGTAGTATTAGAGTGGCCTGTCATACAGACCAGACATTTCACCAACTGAAAACATTTGGAGCACCATGAGACAAACAATGCAAAAAACAACACAGACCCAGGACTGATGAGCAGGAAGAATCTTCTATCAGACAAGGATGGGAATGTTTTCTTTCCCAAAAGTCCACCAACCGTTCTCCTCAGTTCCAAGACTTTTAGTGGTAAACATGGTCTTTTTGAGATCTGTTGCTACCGTCAAACACTAAATAATTTTTTATAATAATTTATAAAAACACTATAAGAATTTTTTTTCTTTAAATTGTAAATTTTTTCAGTGTGAATGTTTAATATTTAATGAAAAAAAATCTGTTACCTCAATTTTAAAGCTGGGAATCAGGACTCTTAGTCTTGGTTTTTTCTTCCTTTAAAGAACTCTTTACAGCTTGTAGAAAAGCTGAAAAACAAGAAAAACTTGTTGAAAAGGTGATCAACTAGGCATTCGTTTAAAGAAATAAAATCCTAAAAGTACTAGAATCTGTACTTGATATAATGTCCTTTTAGCTGATCTGCACAGAGGTAGTGGACAAAACTAGTTAGTAAAGAAAGAAAACTTTAATAAATACTAAACTGCAGGCATGTTAGTATGATAATGGTTATTAGATAATAGAGAAAGAGAAAATAAAAGAATGGCTAAGCAGCCAAGAAATCCAAATCTATCTTTGCGATTGTGTTGAAACAGAGTTGGCAGTAAATCTGTTTCATCTCTTACTTCTCATACAAGCATGAAGGACTGCAGGACGAAAAGAAAGCGAAACTTTTGCAGACATATCATAAAAAAACATACCTTATCCGATTCAGGCAGCTGAGCATTAAAGGAACTATTACTTTTATGGAACAAAGTTGCTTTCCCGAATAGGAGTTCACACTGAGAGCAAAATCGCCATTAAAAAGTAGCTGGCATGAAGCACAGCTTGGTAATCTGGCCAATATCTGTCCTGCGTGGGAGCACGCTGAGGAACAACAACAACACATACACAAAGGAGTTGAACCCATATGGTTTCTAAAGGCTGAAACAAATAACTCTCAAACCAAAGTCACCAGTCGCAGATATAAGCTATTTTAAAAACAGGTTTGTTTTTTATCAGACCTGCAGCAACTTAAGTTATTGTCTAACCTGCTGGTTCATTTCTCCATTAACCAATTAATCATTTAGCTCATAATTCTAAGTCAGTCCAAAAAGGGCCTCTTGTTATGTTTGTGAAGTTGTTAGCATTTTAATGGATTTACCTGCGAAATAATATCTCTTGCAGTGTGGTGCTGACTGTCCCAGAAGTTTGTGCTTTTCTAGCCAGACCCCCAAGTGTTTGACACCTAGCAATAAATTACAAAACAATAAGGGAACACAATTAAAAGTGACTAGTTCTGCCCACAGAAAGACACAGCTGTGAAACTTAAAAAGGTAATGAGTGCATGCATGTCTGTGCATTTAGCCCTGTAGCTTACCCATGCATCTTGCTAAGCCTGCAAGCATTAGCTGATAACTTAGCGCTCCACCGTCTTGACCAAATATGGTCACATCGGGCTCTGAAAACCCAGCAATAAGACTTCAAAATCTAACTCCTCAGTAGCAATGTCCATCTCTTACATACCCTCTGTGGTTTTATGTTTCCCAGCTGTCCTTGGACAGGAACATTTTTAATGGGCGTGGCTTAAAGTTTGGGACAAGGGTGTAAGAAGTACAATGTTTCTGTTGATCTACTTTTATACTGCTTTTATGCTTGTGTTACTTGCATTTTAGTGCATTTTTTTTAACTACAGCCTCTAGTCAGTCCACTAGTTTTAATGAGGTAATATAAAAGAGAAACAAATTCCAAATGTCTAAATTTGTTTAAACTATTAACAACTGAATTATGTTTAATTCTGAGGACTTCAGCAGATGGTTTGGGAGTGTGTCAAACGTATGCTTGTTGTCAGTTTTAGTCCAACATCCCTACATGCACTTATCATTTGACAACAGTAAAATGTGAAAGAGAAGTGGGAGGGAAAAGCTGTGTAATTAACCCACAAAGTACACTGTCGACTTCAAAAACCCTCTTTACTTATTCCTTCCTCCGTCCCTGTCTCTATCTCTCTATCTTCATCTCTTGCCGCTTCTCTGAAGTCCGGTTGCAATATCAGACAGGCTAATTAAAGCAGCACGTAATGAGGCGGTGGAGGGGAGGAAGAAAAGGAGGAGGAGGAGGAGAACAAGGAGGTGGAGGATGAGGAGGAAAGGGGTGGGTCAGCGGGAGAAGCTGAGAAGAAAGAAGTCATGATTCGAGGATGTCAAACTCCTATTAAAGGAACTAGCTCCTCAGACAAGCAACTGATTTCCTGTTCCTCTGAGCCTCACTGTAGCTCTGTGTTTTGGAATTAAGCAATTCAAAACAGGCGTAACAGGACAAAGACACACATATTTTGATCGCTTCAGTCCATGTAAGAAAAGAGAAGCCGGTGATGCCTGCGGGGTGTTAATTAAGACTAGCATTAAAGTTAGAGTAAAGTAACGTGTAGCCTAAGAACCTCCCTGGAGATGTAGAGCCAATGTCTGCAACATATGAATCCACTCATTTTAAATTAGCTGTGAGAGAAAGGTGCCTGCAAGGGGGAAACCTATGTGCATTTTGCTGTGTTATATTTGAGAGTGGAATTGATTTCTTGAAACAGTTGTGAAGATCAAATGTGAACACAAGACAAGCGGATAGGTCAACTAAAACAGCAGTCCCCAACCTTTTTTGCGCCACGGACCGGTTTATGTCCGACAATATTTTCACGGACCGGCCTTTAAGGTGTTGCAGATAAATACAATTCACTAGCTGGGCCCACATCCTCATTTTAGGTTTGACAGTGTTTTAGTAGGTAAAGGTGAATGCTTGGACATGAATTGAGCTGCAGTTTGGGGAAGGCCTCGAAGGGGACTGGCAACGGCGCCCGGGCCCGGCAGGTCCTGGCAGAGGGAGGGTGGGGAACGTAAACGAGAATGAACAGCTTGCAGAACTGGGGGAACCTATATAGACGACAACCGGAAGGAGCGTGTTTGGAGGCGTGGTCCTGCTCCTGAAATTCTGGTACATAATCTCCAACAAAATAAAACCAGTACCGGTATCAAAAAAAGGAAGATTTATTCATAATACACGGGAACAGACCCAGGGAAACAGGGTTAACGATAAAAACCATACCCCCCCCCACAGATAAATACCCTGAAAAAAAGGGACACTCTTTTACATTGCTCCATAGTACTTTTGAATTATGTTTCTATTTTTTTTTTATAGTTTATTGTCATTGTCTTTCTCTTTGTAGCTATTTAATATTTATTTGTGGCTTTTTTCATTGGGTCCATTCTGTGTCTGTTTTTTAAATTCTGATTGTGGTCATTTTGAGTCTCAGTTCTCTTTTTGTGACTTATTTCTGTAGTTGTTTCTCATTTCATTTTATGGTTATGCATTCATTTTGTTTCTCTTTTTGGTTCTGGACTGCTTTTGGCCAATGAACTATTCCTGTGGTTGTTTCATGTTTGAGTCATTTTAAGGCTATATAGCCACCTCACTGCCTTCTTTTGGTTTCTATTTGCAGACATAAAAAAAAAATACTTCAACATAAATTTTCTTCTTTTTGTTGCCACAATAGTTAAATAGTTGTTTTGTATTTCTTTGGTATTTTGGCTTTCTCTGAAGGCACTTTATTGACATTTTGTATCTCCCTTGGCATATTTTGGACTCACTTCCATTTCTCTCAGTTGCTGCATTGTATCTTTGCAATTGTTTTTTTTTTGTTTTTTTTTTAATCTTATCTTTTTGTGATGTAACTTTATGGCTGCTTTATATGTCTTTTTTTTTTGTCAAATTTGCTGCAATTTACTGTCACTTTAAGGTTTCGTGGTAGGCCATTTGTCATGCTTTTGCATTCTTTGTGGTAATTTTGAATCCCTTTAAAGCACTTTTGCTTCTCCTTTCAGTCATTATAGTCTGTAGACATTTGAGGTTTCTTTGTAGAAATTTTGCAGCTTGCATCTAGTTTGTCACTTTACATCTCTTTGCAGTCATTTTGTGTCTGTTTTTGGAGATTAGGACTGTCTGCATAATCATTTTCAGTTTCTTTGTGTCCATTTTTTTGCTACTTTGCTAGGATTTAAGTGTATTGCAATTTAGCATCTTATTAGGGTAATTTGTGTCTAATTATGGATAATGCACACCCATTTTTCTGTTTGTAATGATGATCATTTCTTTGTGGCCATTCCATTTCCATTTTGTCAGTAGCACATCCTTTTAGTTACTTTTTGTCTATTGATTGGCATTTTGTTTTTTGGTCATGCTTTGCAACACATTGTGTTTATTTGATGTAATTTTATATAGTGTTGCTGTTCATTTGACCATTTTCTTTTGTCATATTGTGTTGCTCTGTTGTAAATGCATGCCTTCCTTGGTCATTTTGCACCATTTCATGGACAATTATGGCAATTCTGCTTCTTTTTTAAGACAATTTTGTGTCAATTTTGGTTGTCTTTGTAGTCATTTAGAATCTCTTTGTGCTCATATTTCACTTCTTGAGTGATTTGGTTGTTATTTTATGCATTTGGTTTTTTTTAAGTGTCTGCATTGCCATTTTACCGTGTTATATTATCATTTTTTTTCTTCTTATGGTAATTTCCTTTCTCTATGTGCCGATATTTCCTATCTTTTTGTAGTGATTTTGTATCTCTTTGTGGTCATTTTCTGGCTGCTTCTGATTGTTTAATCTCTGTTTGGTTGTTATGTGTTTGTGTCATGGATCATCTTCAGTAGGCATGTTTAGTAAGTTATCCATTGATGTAAACCACAAAGAGGTCCTTTGCGGTCTTGGTTCAAGTGAAAATCTGAAGAAAAAAAAATGTCTCTGAGTGATTTTTGACTCTGCCGCATGGCTGATGATGAAATGACTTGAAAGATGAGAGACCGCCAAAGAAAGACGGAGATATGGAGAGGCAAGGGGAAGAGACAGAATAAGACTAAGATAGGAGACACATAGATACACTGAGACAATAAGGAGGATGTTATTCCTGCATCATTACTTCAACACCCATTCTCCCTCTACTGTCTCATCTTCTCTTTTCATTATTATTCGCACTCCCTCTCATCTTTTCTTTCTATTATTCATCCTCTCTCTTCATGTCTCTATCATTAGTTTTTATCTCTCTGTCTCTCTTGCTTTCTGTTGTTCAGACACTCAGACAAATGAGCCATGAAATATTCGCCATCAAGACACAGAGAGAGTTTCTGAGTGTGTGTATCTCTGTGTGTGTGGGTGGCAGGCTGTGCACATGAGAGTGGGTGTTTGTGTGCATTATGACTTTGGCTTTAAGTCTGTCAGGTCTACTAGCCACTCTGAAAGGTAGCCCACCTGCGTTTGATCCGACTTCTGTGATCCAAAAAGTAATTTGGCAGGCAGGAAATCAAATTGGCTGCTAAAAATTGTGAATCTAGTCATGGCTGCACAGCTGACCAGCCAAGGAGAGAGGATGTTTCACGGAGATCCTAGCCAGAAATCTCACAAGCAAATTTACTAAATTAGCACAGAAGATTGTGTTTTATTGTTTAATAAAACACAATCATCCCCTAAACCTGACTAGTTGCTATGTAAAGATATTCTTGCAGGAATTATCCCTGACCACAATATCAGGTATTGCTGAATCATCAAAAACACGTAATTTTCTCTGTAGGTCCCTAAAGAAAACAAAATATCGTTATTTTTAATAAAGGGTAAACACTCATCCAATACCAAATTTATCTTAGAAACATTTTCCTCAACTACATGTTAAGCTGCAGGCTGCTGTGCAGAGTAATTTTTGCATGTGCAGCACAGCCTCTACGTGTTACAGCATTGAAGAACAAATATTAATTAAGCACCTCTGAAAGACATATAAGATAAGATAAGATAAGATAAGATAGAACTTTATTAATCCCTCGGGTGGGTTCCTCTGGGAAATTCGATTTCCAAAAAAGCACAGCACCGACAGAAGTTACAGAGTTACAGAATATATATATATATATATATATATATATATACACACACACACACACACACACACACACACACATATATAATACAGAGACAATATAAATAAAATATACGAAGGGATAAATAGAATAAATAGGAATAAAAAATAAAAATACAAGTGAATTGCACATTTCAAGTATTGAGTCTATTGCACTGTTGACTATTTACAAAAGTATTGCACAAAAGGTATTGCACAGTGAGGTGAAGAGGCACTACAGCTTAGTTGTTCCCCCCTCCTTTGTCCTCCTGTTTCCCCTCCCTCTCCCCTCCAGAGAGGAGTTAAACAGTCTGATGGCGTGTGGGACAAAGGAGTTTTTAAGTCTGTTAGTTCTTGTCTTGGGGAGAAGCAACCTGTCACTGAACAGACTCTTCTGGTTGTTAATGGCCGTGTGCAGAGGATGCCTGGCATTGTCCATAATGTCCATCAGTTTCTTTAATGTCCTTTTCTCTGCCACTGTCACCAGAGTGTCCAGCTTCATGCCGACCACATATAGTGAACAAACTTGCAATTTAGGACATTTTTAACAAATATTTTATAACAAAAAAGAACTGCTAACTAAAAAGGTGGACAAAGCTTGCTGAGGAATTAACATACCATTTGTTGGGCATCTAAAGGACCCCCCCCC